AGCTCTTGCAGAATCACACCCAAAATTATAGGTAGTATTTGAATCCTGCTTCCTGTGCTGGTGGCAGGTGACAATCAAACATCAAATTTTGAGTTTGCTTTGTCTTGTTTGTTCTCTGGTTCCTCCTCCTGCCTGCCAGTGCTTGGGGGAGAGTGCTGGGCACTGGTGGGGCTGCCCCAGGCTCCCCGCTGGGTTTGTGCCCCATTTCGGGCTGGAGCCTGGTACTGGGGCTCTTGCTACACTCGTCTGGTTGATACCTGGCTCCTAAAGTGAGGGGACCTGCTGCTCCTGAGAGCCTCCGCCACCCCAGACTGCGAGCAAATGGGCCTCTTGATGTGGGGAAAACCCTGAATCACGCACAGCCTTGGCGGCAGGCTCAGCTTACCTTCACCCCACAGGGATGATGGGAGGAGATCATCACTGGATTAGTTTACTGGCAGCAAGGACAGAAATCCTGAAGGTGTTTGCAGAGCAGTTGAGAGGAGCAGAAGCTCTGGGCTCCCAGCGCGAGGCTGCATCTCCCCGAGCGTGGCCGAGAGCCCCCCTTTTGGGGACTGTCTGGAGGTGACTCCATGTTTGGGGTCTGCAGAAGCTCACAAGGTTGGTGTCTGTCTGGAGAAAGCTGTGGTGGTTGCCCAGCAGAGGAACACAGAAGGTGCAGGTAAAGCTCCTCTGGTGACCAAAGGGCTGGGATAGCTTTATGGCACGGAGAAGGTAACTGGACATGGTGTCCTCACCTTGGAGAAGAGCTGCCTTCAGAGGGGAGCGTTAGACCGGGGCTGCGCTGCAGTAGCCGAGTGAGAAATGCTTATTGACCCTGTCATTGCAGGCGGTGCTGGAGGACACTACGTGAGGCTGAGAGCCCACCAGCAAGAAGGTCTTTCCCCATAGGTACACCAGGGAGCTGCGGAGCCCACGGCCGTGGGGAAGGCAGAAATGCAGATGCACGGCAGCGGAGATCAGATAAATTGTTGACCGTGAGGATGGGGATGTGCCATCTGGAAAGCCCCCGAACACCAGCCTGCCAGAAGCAGGGTGGGCTCCGTGTCTCGCAGGGTCCGTCCCAGCCTGCCCCTGCCCGGCCTTAGGAGCTGCGTGGGGCACGGCCGAGGACAGGGCAGAGAATTCGCGTGTCCTCCCGGCGTGGTGTGCGATGGGCCAGCCCAGCAATACTTAAAACTGCCCACAAGAGTCACTGTTGCTTTATCTAAGGAGCCTCCATTCCTTCTGCCTGTGAGCTGCCCGATTCCTTCGCGCCTTGGAGGCCGTGGGCTTCAGGTCTCCATCCCTGACCCTTTTCTTGTGCCCCACCAAACTTCAGGCAGGGAACTGCGAGGGTTCAGGCTACCGAGGAGGAGGATGAAGGAGGGTCGGGGCGTTGCAGGAGTGACCTTTCCCATGTGCTGCTCCATGCTGGTTATTTCTGCCCCAGCAGACAGCCCTTACCTTCCCCGCCACTGCCGCAGCGGTTGTGCTTGGCTCTTTGATTTGCCCAGGGAGCACAGCGTGTGCTTCGGAGACCTGCGGCCTGAATTCACCTCTCTGCAAATGGTTTCTAAGTAACAGCAGTATGTGTAGCAAGATAAACTGTGAAGCCTATTTATATTTACCGAGATTGTATTAACCTTTGAAAGGTTGACCTTATGCAAAAAAAAAAAAAAAAAAAGTGGCAAAAACATTTAGGGCATGTGGGGGTTTTGTTGTTGTTTTTAATCCTTTCACTCTTTGATTACTTCAGCCTTGGTGGTGGTAAACATACACTGGCTTTCAAGGCATTCTTGATTTTTGCAGCTGTGGAGCCATTAAGTCTTTGCCTGTATTAGCACTTCCAAGGTCAGCCATGATGCAAAACTCAAGGCAACCCATCAGCTGCGTAAGAGCTTCATTTACTCTCCCGTTTCCTAATAACCCATGCAGCAGATCCAGCAGCAGCACGTCAAAGCCCCACGTCGCTCCTGGATGTCACCCAGCCTGGCGTGGGGAGGGCAGCAGTTGATTTAGCTGTGCTGGCCCCAGGGGACGATTGTGACCCCTTGCTGGGGGCCATCGCACACGTGATCGTCATTAGCATCACCCCAGCGGTTTCCCAGTGTTAGAGTTTCCATCAGACTTGGAATAAACAAACAAACAAGGGGAATGTGTCTTTTGGGCACAGTCTCCCGTCGGAGCTTGTTCACGCAGAGCTGAAACCTTGGAAGGAAATCTGTCCGAGGGGATTTCTGCAGGAGGATTTGCCGCCCGCTGCGGCACCACACGGCGCTGGAGCCAGTGACGAAAGGTCACCATGTGCGATGCGAAGGGATGCGGGAGCACGTGAGGAGCTGGGGCTTGGTCGGGCAGAGAGCCTGTGGGTGGGCAGGGGAGCACCTGATGTGCAGGGCTGGCAGCTGGGTGCTGCTGGACCGACCTTGCCTGCGGGTCCGGAGAGGGATGCTCTGGAGCGTTCGGCACAGCTCAGCCCCGCTCCTTCTTTCTCATGCCTCACTCCTCGCACAAGCGGGCGGATGTCGCTGCAGCTCTGTGCCTCAGTTTCCCTAATGTTTAAAGGCAAGTGAATGCTGTTCACGTGGAGGTGAGGGGTGAGGTTTAGCTCAGGCAGTCACCTGCAACCCTCTTTTAGGCTCCTCGGTGGGTGCAACACGCAGACAGAAACAAAAGACAGCGGCATTGTGTGATGCAGCAGGGAGAAGCCTTTGGCAGCAATGTTTATTAATATATCTAATGAGGTGGCCTCTAGTCTTTGTAGTGCAACCCAGAACAACAGCGGGCCCTTTGTAAACACACCGTCAAACAAGAGCAAAGGCAGAAAGTGCCCCGTGCATGGATTTATTAGATTTCCCTCCTCCCAGTGATCAATGCCACTTTGATTTCTGAAACAGAAGCGAAAGACTTGGCTTGATATTCAAACCCTTGCTCAGAAAACCTTTGTGGATCCAAGTGTCCACTCTGCAGGAGCCTTCAGCCCTGTCATTTGGCTGTACCTTCTGCCGATGCTGGTGCTGCCTGGAATTGGGAGTGCACGGGGATTTGGGGCTGAATGGCTCCAACTGGGGATACTGGAGTCTCTTCCCAGCCAGTAGCTGGTGTTTTCCGTTCATAGGAGTTACGAGGGCTGCTTGCTAGGGCTGCCTTGGAAATCAAGGTCTGGTTTTGCACCAGAGTGTTCAGGGCAAAGTCAAAGGGACTGAAGCTGTAGTGCAGCTCAGGCGGTGGTCAGGGACTCCACCTGTATCCCGTACCTCTGGTAACTAGTTAAGAGGAGAAAACAGAAGTTACAAAATCCGAATGGTACTATTAGGACCGAGAGTCAAACCCGATGTGTTTCTTCCTTGGTAAACTAAAAAGAGGCCACAAAGCTGAGTGTGGCTGTGCTGTGCTGGAGAAGAAATCATCGCTCTCCCAAATCCTTGGGACACCTTTCCTCTAGCGGCTGTACTTGGTCTCGGAGGTAGTGGTGGTTCAAGACCCCAGACCCAAGGAATTGCTGTCCTAAATAAACCTGCTAATTACTGGGTGCCAGTATTATGGCAGTGCCCCTCGGCCCTGCTCTGGGTCCCCACGTGCGGGCGGGCTGGGATCCCCCGGCACGCTGCCAGAGCGGAGCGGCGGTACAGCCTTGGCGGTGGGCTGGTGGAGGGACCTGGGGTTCCCAGGGCAGCCCTTGCTGCAGGATCCCTGTTGTTCCCCGTATCTGCCGGTGCGTGCTTTAGCGGTGTAGCAATAAGAAAGATTTAAAAATGAAAAATTTTGATACTTTCTGTGATGTTCTCCATCCCCAGATTTAGCCAGGACTGCCCCCAGCGCTCTCTCTAAATGAGCTGGACCCTCTGCCCCTTCCCAAATAGCTGCTGCTGAGGTTTAGGGATTTCTGGGGGGAGGAGGGTGGTTGCTCCCTTCCCCACTAGCCAGGCAGGGAGGGGAATGAGGAAGCAGCAAGGGTGTCTCCGTTCTGTTAAATCCTGCAGAACGTGCCTACATGAGACTGTTAAGCTCCTGATCAGTAATTACACACTGCAACTCTGCCTTTAATCAGGATAAAAGACTTAAGGAAAGTCCTTTGCCCCTGGTCTCTACCTTTTACCTAGAGATTTTATTGCTGTGAATATTAGTAACGGGCACAACTGCAGGAGCTCAGCTCTCGGCTTCGTGCAGACTCTGGGAGCTCCTGCAGCCTTTCCAGCTCCTCTTTGAGCAATTATTTCATGCTGTCTTTAGAAAGTAGAAAGAAGAAGAAGAAACCAGGGGGGTGTCTGGTTGATGCTGGGTTGGTTGTGGTTGCAGTGGCGAGTTTCTCTCTTGAGGTCCTAATTCTGCAAGTGGCTGAACTTTCCTGGCTGGTTTGTTTGCAGCTTTGTTAGGCACGACTCCAAGGAAGCAAGAGGTTAGGAGATATGTGCTGCAAGCCCTACTGCAATCCTGCCTCCTTATCAGTGCCTTGGAGCCCGGGGGTGAATAACCCCTTGGGAGCGCGTGTGCACTGACAGCTCCGTCGCTGCTGGCCCCAGGGACTGGGGTGGCTCCGGGTGGCCTCTGCTCAGGGGGTGCCGGGGAAAGCCACCTCCTGCCATGCAGAGCTCAGCCTGAGCCCCCCAACTCTTGGGACCTCATTGGGTTTTTGCAGATCAAAATGTGAAAATAATCAAGAAAGAGCATGACCCGTTGGTAAACGCGGAGCTAAAGGTCCGCCCATGGTCAGTGCTGGGCGCATGGTAAAGGTTTGCAGCATTGGGAGTTCATGGCTCTAGTTCTCAACCTTAGTCCTGGTTTTACCAACAGATGCGAGTGAAGTTCCTTGTGTTGGAGGATTTGTTGGTCTCTCTCTAAGCTGGCGCAAGGTCCCCTGATAGCCACGTTTACTGCTCTGAGGTTGATGCAATTCCGAGTTAAGGTGGAAACTGCGCTGCAGACTCCTTTGGGAGTGGGGAGAGCAAGGCTTTGGGTTTTAGCTGCCTTGTTAGTCTGATAGTCTGATCTCATCTTTTTTTTTTTTTTCTTTACAGAAACCAGGCAATGCGGAAAAAGTTAATTTTGTACTTTAAGAGGAGAAATCATGCTCGCAAACAGTGGGTAAGTGCTTCCCTTATACTTCATTTTATACATATAAAGCAGCGTAATTTATTATGTGAGAAAGAAAAGGACATTTTCCAGCAGAGAGGTGCTGGTGCTCAGTGCTTTTCCTGTTGCATTGCTGTAGCATCTCTGATGCTTAAAATAACTTGGATGTAAAGGAGAGGTCCCCGATCGTGCTGCCAGCGGCACCTCCCTCCGCAAGTACCCCCTGCAGAGCAAACACGTGGGGTTGGCTTAATCGCAGCAGAACCCTTCATTGATCTCAGGGAGCCTATTCACAGCATAAATGTCTATTTTGTGAGTAATTGAACCCTAAGAGAGGTGCAAAACACGCTGACTCCGCTTCCGATAAATGGTCTGAGAACTGGTCTGGCTCTTTCCAGCTGACCGCAGAGTGATGTTCTAGGAATCTGTGGTTTAAAATAAAAATGAAGCTCTGCGCCAGTTTGTTTCTAGGCAGCTTTGCCTGCGAGATAGTTCCATTGTCCTTCTGGGAGATGGTTCTTGGTTAGGGAAGGGGCAAGGTGGCGTTTATTATGAGGCTTCAAAGGTGTTTCTTGCAAGTCCCTAGTAAATAGAGGAGAAAGTTGAAGTGGGATTTATGGAATTTATGAGATTTTGACGCTGTCAGTTGCGTGCGGTTGTTGCCAGCAGGAGCTGGGAGGCAAAACCAGCACAGAAGGGGAAATACCAGAAGCAACCAACAACCCCCACTGGGAAGGTGGATTTTGTTGTGCCTTTCCGTGAAGGGTAATTCAACTCTCAACGCAGGGCTTCACGTTTTACCTGAAAGATGTAAAGACTGGTTCCTGACTCAGTGTCTCTGTTCTGGGGCAGGCTCGGATGCTGGTGTTAGTGTCTTAAGTTGCCAATGGTGCAGGTTTTCTCAGTGTCTTTGGTGCTGGTTTTGGACAGACGTGCTCTGACTGGGAGGAATTCTTGGAAAAATTCAAAATAATGAGCCTGGGAATGATTTGAAGGCTCTGCCTTTAAAAGTAGCTTTCAATACAGGCATTTCTGAGCCAGCGATGAAATAATTTTCTTATTTAAGGTGAATAAAGGCATGTTCCTTTTCTCTCCTGTGCTTCATTTTTTCCCTCCCGTTTTGTAGCAATCTTCCAAAAGCCACAGATCTTGCAGTCCAAGGGGATGGTTGTGTCTCCCATTTGTGTCCGAATATGTGTTTGTTTAGTCTTTTCCATGATAAAACTTCTTCCAGGTTTCTAGCAAGGGGCTACAGGGCT